TCAAATTTGTTGGCATATAGTTGTTTAGAGTAGTCTCGATTGATTCCTTGTGTTTCAGATGTATCAGTTGTGATATTATCTTTTTCATTTCTAATTTTTGTTATTTGGATCTTCTCTCTTCTTTTTTTAGTTGCTTTATAAATCTGGCTGCTCTGACATTGGGTGTGTATATATTTTTGATTGTTATGTCTTCTCGGTGGATCAATCCTTTTATCATCATGTAGTGGCCATTATCTCTTTTTATGGCTTTTAGTTTAAAGTCTATTTTATCAGATACAAGAATAGCTACTCCAGCTTGTTTTTCATTTCTGTTTTTATGGTAAATCTTTTTCCATCCTTTCACTCTCAGTCTATGTGAGTCTTTATGGGTGAGGTGGTTCCTTTGAAGGCAGCATATAGTTGGGTCCTCCTTTTTAATCCAGTCAGCCAGTCTGTGTCTTTTGATTTGGGAATTTAATCTTTTTACATTAAGAGTTGTTATTGAAAGGTGTTGATTTACTCCTAGCATTTTATTGATTTTTGTTTGGATGTCTTAAGTGTCTTTTGTTCCTTTCTTTCTGATTTACTGTTTGTTTTCTGTATTTGTTGGTTCCTTGGGTTGTAGATAGCCTTTTTTTTGTTTTGTTTTCTCTTCATTGTTGCCATTTTTATTTTACTAGTGGGTTTTGATTTTTCTTGGGTTTTGATTTTTGTTTGGATGTCTTAAGTGTCTTTTGTTCCTTTCTTTCTGATTTACTGTTTGTTTTCTGTATTTGTTGGTTCCTTGGGTTGTAGATAGCCTTTTTGTTTGTTTTCTCTTCATGAATGCCATTTTTATTATACTAGTGGCTTTTGATTTTCCTTGGGTTTTTTTATGGCAGTGGTAGTTATTTTTCAGGTACCAAACCTAGTACTCCCTTAAGAATATCTTGTAAGTTTGGTCATGCGGTGTTGAACTCCCACAGTTTTTGTTTGTCTGAAAATTATACTGTTTGCCCTTCATTTCGGAAGGATAGCCTTGCAGGGTAGAGTGTTCTTGGCTGGCAATCTTTGTCTTTTAGTATTTTGAATATATCATCCCATTTCTTTCTGGCTTTTAGTGTTTGTGATGAAAAGTCTGATGTTAGTCTGATTGGGGCTCCCTTTTAGGTGATTTGACGCTTCTCTCTTGCACCTTTTGTCTCTGTCTTTGAGTTTTGCCAATTTGACTATAACATGTCTTGGAGAAGACCTTTTCAGGTTGAATACATTTGGGGATCTATGAGCTTCCTAAATCAAATCGAAGATATGTGTCTTCTCCTATTCCTGGGAAGTTTTCTGCCACTATTTTATTGAATATGTTTTCAATGCAATCTCCTTTTTCCTCCCCTTCCAGAATACCCATGACTCAGATGTTTGGTCGCTTCAGGTTGTCCGATATCTCTCAGATTTTCTTCAATGTTTTTAATTCGTTTTTATTTTTTGTTGTCTGCCTGTGTTATTTATAACAGCCGATCTTCAAGGTCATAAGGTCTCTCTTCTGCTTCTGCAAGCCGGCTGGTTAAACTCTCTGTCGTGTTTTTTATTTGGTTGAATGAATTCTTCTGCTTAGTGAGCTCTCCTACATTCTTTTTCGGGGCACTAATTTCCTTGTACATTTCTTCTTTCAGGTCCCGTATACTTTTCTTTATTTTATCATGTTGTCTAGCTGAGTTTTCTTGTATTTCATTTAGTTTCCTTAGAATTATCACTCGAAATTCCTTGTCAGACATATCAAGGTCTTCTTTTTCTTTATTTTATCATGTTGTCTAGCTGAGTTTTCTTGTATTTCATTTAGTTTCCTTAGAATTATCACTCGAAATTCCTTGTCAGACATATCAAGGTCTTCTTGTTCTATAGGATCTAGATCTTGAGGGTTGTTACCCTTTGGTGGTGTACTTTCTTGATTTTTCATATTTCTGGTGTCTTTCCTTTTATGTTTAGTCATTGTGGCAGGGGATTTCATCCTCCACTGCTTTGACACTATTGTCTGGCTAGGATGCTGGTGGGACTGCCAATTTGTTATGGCTGCCTCAGTGTCTGCTCGGTTGCCCACTAGTGCCTCGGGTGCATGGTCACCTTGGATCTTGGGCCTCTAGGGGGTGGTGCCTCTCTGGTCAGCACACACTTGTTGGGGCTGGGGATGGAGTCGAGTGGTTGTGGCAAAGCCTACCTGTTGGGTCACATGCTGGCAGCACAGGATGCATGGTCTCTGCAGATCTTCCACTTCTCCAGCTGGGTGCCTCTCTGATCAGTGCACACTTGGCAGGGCTGGGGATGGAGTTGGGTGGCAATGGTGAGGCCTACCTGCTTGGTCATACACTGGCACCACAGGGCATGTAGTCTTCGAGGATCTTGGGCCTTGTAGGTGTTTCTTAAATGTATTCTTGATGTTAATTTCTTATGAGGTTAATGATTTTCAACTTTTCTCTTTTTTGAGTTGCAAATGTAAATAGGATTGTGTTTTTTGTTTTAAGTTTTACTTGGTCATTGCTGGGGTATAGAAAAGAGATTGACTTTTGTATATTAAAGTTGTATCCTGCAGTCTCACTGTAATCAGTAATTAATTCCAGGAGGTTTTCTATTTACTTGCTAGGATATTTTGCATAGATAATCATATCATCTGCACCTAATGATAGTTTTGTTTATTTTTTTCCCAATCCGTAAATCTTTTATTTTATTTCCTTGTGCTATTGCACTTTCCAGTACTTTTACTGCAGTGTGGGAGGGATAAGAGGGTACATCCTTACCTTGTTCCTGATTACTTGGGAATGCTTTGAGTATCTCACCATTAAGGGTGATGTTAGCTGCAGTTTCCTGTAGATTATCAAGTTGTGATATTCCCCTCTTTTCCTAGGATACTGAGAGTTTATATGATGAATGGATGCTATATTTTTTCAAATGCTTTTTCTGCATCTGTTGATATGATCATGTTTTTTTTTTTTTTTTCTTTTTAGTGTTTTCTTGTTATCAATTACATTAATTTATGTTCATATGTTAAACCACTCTTGCCTACCTGGGATATTTACCACTTGGCCATAGTGGATACTTCTCTCTAGACATTGTTGGATAAGTTTTGCTGATATTTTGTTGATCTTATTTGCATGTATGTTCATGAGAGTTAGCAGTTTGTGGTTTTCTATTCTTATGATATCTTTGTCTTGTAGTTATTGCTCTGTTACCAATTTCTAATTTATTTCTTTTGTGGTCTGAGGGCACATATTGTATGATTTCCATTTTTATTTTGCTAAAGTGTGTTATGTGGCTCTGAATATGGTCTTTGTGATTTTTTTATGTGAGTTTTAGAAGAATGTTTATTCTGTTGTTGTTGGAAGTAGTCTGTAGATATCCATTATACCCAGATCATGTTATTGATTTTAACTATGTCTCTTATAAGTTTCTGTCTGCTGTATTGCTTCATTTTTGTTAAAGGGTGTTGAAATCTCCGGTTTTGATGGTGGATTCTTCTTTCTCCTTGAAGTTCTATTAGGTTTGGTGTCACATAGTTTGATGATCTGTTGTAAGGCACATGCACATTAAGAATTGTCCTCTGGGAGAACTAACTTCTGTATTATGATGTAATGCCACCTTTTCTTCCCCTCTATCCTGTGTTTAAAGATAAAGTGTTTCTGCAATTTCTGTACTTTTTTGTTTTTGTTTTTTTTACTTTCATCCTCTCAGGTTCATTCACTCTGATGCTTTCAGATAACATGGAAATTTTGATACTTTTCAAATCTTTATTATCAGCTTAACTTTTTCTCTTGAATGCTGGAATCATATACCCAATTGCCACTTGGACAGTTGCCATTGGAAATAACTACAGTTCTTTCAAGTATGATGCATTCAAATCTGTTTCACTTTTGCTCTTTATATTTTTCTACCATTTTTCAAACTTTGCTTTACAGCACTAGTACCTAACGAGCTGTGCTTATGTAGATAACCTGAGAGTAAAACTCTTCTTTTTAATTTCTGTACAGCAAATTACTACCACATTCTGTTTCTGGTTTTTTTCCCCTGTTTTTTTCTTATAGTGCTTAGTCTCTCTTTGTGCTTATTTCTATATGTTGTAATGTGTTTGGTCTTCTGTCATCCTGTTTTCTTTGTCCCTCTGACTCTCCCTAAAAGTCTTTTCCATTCTCCTTGTAACGGATGACTACTAAAATGCAAATAAAGTTATGTACTTACAAGACCACATTATTTGCTCCCTGTGGTCTAGAAACTTGCAATGTACACCCTGGTGTGGACACAGACGATCCTTTGGCACATAGGAAGGAAATTTTGGAATGCCTTTTTAATGTACTTTTAATTCACAAGTAATTAAAAAACATCAATAACTACATAAAATGTTTTACTGTTTGAAGTAGGTCCCATATTTAAGTGCAGAATCATTCTATAATCAGTTGCTTCAATATTGTTTTTCTCTTATATTGCCCAAGATCATTCACTCAGACATGGTGCTGTGTGTAGTTCCATTAGTGTGGGGTGTGTTCTTTCTGTTCTTCTGACTGGACTTTTGCTGTTGCCTCATATTCATGAGACCATGCTGTTCACATGGAAGAGTTTAACTTGTTTGGCATTTCAGTGAAGTTCAAACTGAATACAAAATAAAGCTATATTTTTTATTTCTTTCTTAGGCCAGACTATATTGAACTTCTGTTTAAGTTTTTCGTTTAACACAGTATTTCAAGTATTTATTTATATTTATGTCTTCATGCCTGTTTATACTCTCATTGGAAAAGAAAAATTTTATTTACACTTCTACCACTGGCAACAAGGATATTTCTTAAGGTATAAACTAAGTTTTGTTATATTACTTTTAGTAATTAATAAATTATTAGAGTACCAGGGTATTTGTCCTTTGGTTTTTCTTCCTCCTATTCTGTGGAGTACAAAAAAGTGGTATCTTATAAGACACATGCACACACACACAGGTGAAAGCTCCCAGATTTCTGTTTTGTGACCCAGGGATGTTGACTGGAGTTGAGAATGATGTGTCATTACAGGAGTTGGTGTCATTTGAGGATGTGGCTGTGGACTTCACTTGGGAGGAGTGGCAGGACCTGAATGATGCTCAGAGGACTTTGTACAGGGATGTGATGCTGGAGACCTACAGCAACCTGGTGTCACTGAGTGAGTAAAACACCCCAGTGACTTTCAGAAGAAACAGTTACCTTTTTCTTCATAAACATAGAAACCATTTATAGGGTTTCATGCTATTTTGGTAAGATTACATTACTTGAAAATGTGCTCTCTCTCTCATGATGTTCAAATTGACCTCTTTATTGCACAACATCTGATGCTGAACTCTTGCCATTCTTCCAAGGATTAGACTTAGTCCTACATTACTTCCCATTAACAGAACACTGTATTAACAAAGCTGAGGTGATTGTCAAGTTAGAAGAAGGATCAGAGTCATGGACAATAGAAGAATGCCCAAACCAGATCCTGCAAGGTTTGTCAGCACATACAGAAGCCAAGAAAAGTAAACCCCATTAGATGTTGGAAGTGTTTAGCTGCTTCTAGTAATTTCCCCCCCAAGTCCCAGACTTGAGGATGGCTCATCTGCAATCCTGTATTAAATAATCTCCAAGGCGAGATATCTCCTGTATACCCCAATGTTTTATTTTGCTGAATCTGTTTTGTTTGTACTGTAAATCTAATTCCTACATTTCTCTTCTTTGAAATTTATTTTTCTTATTTGCTTTCTTATCATTTTCAGTTGTGCTTGTTTTCTCCATTCTCATGTACTCTTTTTCTTCGTATTGTATCTGTTTTCTGTTGCTTATAACAGAATACCTGTAGCTGGGTAATTTATAAAGAAAGGAACCTTTTTTTTACAAATTTGTTCTGAAGGCTCACCATTCCAAGGTCAGGGGGTTGGATCTGGTGAGGGTCTTTGTTCTGATGGGGACTCTTCCAGACTCTTCCAAGAGTCCCAAAGTAGTGCAGGGTATCACATAGCAACTCATTAAGAAAATTGAAAAGAGTTACAGCAGTGAGCCTTGTACCACATCAAAAATCATGAAGCTGAGGAGAACCCTACATGGGAGAATGGAAAAGGGTGGTCCTTGACTTTGAAGGAAAACCAGGAGATTCTGGGTGGCAAGACCATGTGAACTAAGCTTTCCATGTTGATGGGATAAGATTGTTATTTGGAGTAGGGTTCAGTTAGCATTTTTCTGTTTTGTTTGTAGAAATCATTAAAAAAAAAACCAAAATGAGAAATGTGCTAGAGACTCTTTATGAGCACAGAAGACCACCAACACTTCACTGCACAAAATAAAAGCTTTCACAACAATTAATTATCAAGTGGTGTTCCATGTACTAGGAATTGGGAATAGAATACAAGTTGATTTGAGAAGGAGTTAAAAGAACATATTTCAAAAATGGTGGGAACAGCCTTGGATGCAGAACCAAATATTTTAGAACAGATGGGGGTGTCTAGGGTGGAGAACTGACATTTCCTTTATTGTAATCATTTATACAAAGCAGAGGACGTCAAGTTAAATGAAAAGCTTGGAGGAAGCTAACTTTATGTAGGGTGGAGAAAAGGATATTTTATTCTTTGAAAAATTTCCACATTCTTATAGCTATTTTCTAAGGGAGGAGTATAAAGCATATAAGTATAAATGCAAAATCCTTTTCCTCAGCCATGTTCTTGCATATGTGACAAAAAATTGGCTCATTTCTATACTTGAAAGTAGCTGATGAAGGAAAACCTAGCCGTCTTCATAGTAAAAAAATGAGAAAATAGCAGTAGGAAACACCCATTATTGTAAAAATAAAACAGAGAAAATGGTGTAAAGAAATGAAAGGTGCTTAATTGGAAACTACAAGTAGCCAGAAAATAAAAATTCTTAAATATTTTGTCATAAATTAAAATTTACAAATGAACAAAGAAGGAAAGAAAAACATGATATAACATTAGAAAATATATTAATAAAATATTACATTGTCAATAAAAAAAAATTCCATTAACTCATGAAACCAATACTCATTGTTTTTTTAAATAAAATCTTTTGTTACAAGGATTGAAAGGTGGTTCTTTATGTTTACCTGAGCCGTCAATGAGATGTGCTTCTGTGTGGTTCAGTTATTATTTTTGTCATTTCAGATGTTCACATAGATGATGACCTAGTGGAGAGGAACCAAGAAAGTCACGGTAGAGGTTTGCAGCAAATCATACTCACCAACAGCAACACGTCATTTGAGGAGAGAGTTGTGTTAGGAAAATCATTTTATCTGAATACATATCATGTTTTAAATCAGATTATAGATAATGGAAACCATTCAGGAAATGGACATGAGGATTTTTACACATGTCAGAATGCACTTCTTCCTAGAGAGCCTGATGAGATGCCTGCTGGAAAGAAACCTGATGACTATCATACAACTGTAAAATTACCCAGACATCATGAGCATTTTAGTCAGCATCCCAATATTCAAACTGGGAAGCAGGCTTTAGAATACAATGGAAAAGGGAAATCCTCCAACACAGAGCCAATGACTTTTACAGATAAAAATATTCACATGGATGAGACCAACTATAAACATAATGAATATGGGAAATGCTGTGGTAAGTCAGCTGTCATTGCCCAAGAAACAAATCAGGTAGAAAGGAAAACTTTTCTATCTGGTATATGTGGGGAAATGCTCTATAAAAAATCTGAACTCACTAAGCATCAGATTATGCACACAGGAGAGATACACATTTTATATCAGAGAACTCACACAGGTGAGAAACCATATGAATGCAAAGAATGTGGGAAAGCTTTTAGCAAAAAGTCATGCCTCTGCAAGCATGTGAGAACTCACACTGGTGAGAAACCATATGAATGTCAAGAATGTGGAAAGGCTTTTAGTGAAAAGTCATGCCTCTGCAGGCATGAGAGAACTCACACAGGTGAGAAACCATATGAATGTAAGGATTGTGGGAAAGCTTTTAGTGAGAAGTCAAGCCTCAGCAGGCATAAGAGAACCCACACAGGTGAGAAACCATACGAATGTCAAGAATGTGGAAAAACTTTTAGTGAAAAGTCACACTTCAGAAGACATCAGAGAACTCACACAGGTGAGAAACCATATGAATGTCAAGAATGTGGGAAAGCTTTTAGTGAAAAGTCACACTTCAGAAGACATCAGAGAACTCACACAGGTGAGAAACCATATGAATGTCAAGAATGTGGGAAAGCTTTTAGTGAAAAGTCACACTTCAGAAGACATCAGAGAACTCACACAGGTGAGAAACCATATGAATGTCAAGAATGTGGGAAAGCTTTTAGTGAAAAGTCACACTTCAGAAGACATCAGAGAACTCACACAGGTGAGAAACCATATGAATGTAAAGAATGTGGGAAAGCTTTTAGTGACAAGTCAACCCTCAGCATACATCAGAGAAATCACACAGGTGAAAAACCATATGAATGTCAAGAATGTGGAAAAGCTTTTAGTGACAAGTCAAAGGTCAGCATTCATCAGAGAACTCACACAGGTGAGAAACCGTATGGATGCAAAAAATGTGGTAAAGCTTTTAGTGAAAAGTCAAGCCTCTGCAGGCATGAGAGAACTCACACAGGTGAGAAAGCATATGAATGTCAAGAATGTGGAAAAACTTTTAGTGACAAGTCAACCTGCAGCTTTCATCAGAGAAATCACACAGGTGAGAAACCATATGAATGTAAAGAATGTGGGAGAGCTTTTAGTGACAAGTTAACCCTCAGCATTCATCAGAGAAATCACAAAGATGAGAAACCATATGAATGTAAAGAATGTGGGAAAGCTTTTAGTGAAAAGTCTAGCCTCTGCAGACATGAGAGAACTCACACAGGTGAGAAACCATATGAATGCAAAGAATGTGGAAAAGCTTTTAGTGAGAAGTCACACTTCAGAAGGCATCAGAGAATTCACACAGGTGAGAAACCATATGAATGTAAAGAATGTGGGAAAGCTTTTAGTGACAAGTCAACCCTCAGCATTCATCTGAGAAATCACACAGGTGAGAAACCATATGAATGTCAAGAATGTGGGAAAGCTTTTAGTGACAAGTCAAGCCTCTGCAGGCATGACAGAACTCACACAGGTGAGAAACCGTATGAATGTAAAGAATGTGGAAAAGCTTTTAGCCTAAAGTCAAGCCTCAGCATTCATCTGAGAACTCACACAGGTGAGAAACCATATGAATGTAAAGAATGTGGAAGAGCTTTTAGTGTAAAGTCAAGCCTCAGCATTCATCAGAGAACTCATACAGGTGAGGAACCATATGAATGTAAAGAATGTGGGAAAGCTTTTAGTGGAAAGTCAAGTCTCTGCAGGCATGAGAGAAGTCACAGGTGACAAACCTTATGAATGTAAAGAATGTGGGAAAGCTCTTAATGAAAAGTCAACCCTCAGCATTCATCAGAGAATTCACACAGGTGAGAAGCCATGTGAATTTAAAGACTGGTAAAGCTTTTATTCAAAAGTCATACCTCAGCAGCTATTAGAGAATTCCCATAGGTTAGAAATCATGACCATGTAAGGAATGTGGAAAAAATTTACTGGAACTCACCATAATAGACATGAACAAATTCACACGTGGGAAAATCCCAATAAATGTAATGGCTGTGTGAGGTTTTGTCATAAATCACACATCAAATTTCATCAGAGAACTTACTCCTAGAAGAAGCCCTATAAATGCACAACTGTCTGTCCCATGGTATTGGATGTTGGTTCCAGGAGCCCCTATTGATGAAAACACTTGCAAATGATCAAGCACTTTCTATACATGGTGTACTGTTTCAATATTACCTATGACTTTTTTCCATGTCCTTTCCATTTTGACTAGAATATTTATATTTATATTACTGAATACAGAAGGAATTCCTTATAAATAGGAGCTATACTGTTATTTTTTACTTCTATTATACTTTTGTTTTTTCTTTTGATTTTTAACAATTTTTTTAAGTGGTTGAATCAGCAGATGTGCCACCCTCAGATATAGAAGGTGGTCAGTAATTGTGAAAATATCTTTTATCAGCAATTATACAGCTGGCTATAGTTAGTGTATTGTTGGCTAGAGCATGGTGCTGATAACACCATGGGTCCATGTACTGGCCAGCCACTGAAAAAAAAGAAAGAAAAGTAAAGTAAAAAGAACTCACACTGAAGCATTTGTGAGGTAATTTACATGGGGGGAAATTGTGCATGGATTACACTGGGTTATGTATTTTCTCAAAAGCACTTTTCTCTTGTACACATGCCTGCAATCCCAGACATTAGTTATTGTGTGTGCAACCATGTAATTTAGCTCTGCTCAGGGAAGTATGGATACAGGTGATAAACATTACTTCCAGGCCAGGCAGTAAAAAAAAGTTCATGCATTTGTCTGATTTCTCATTTTCTCTGGGACTGAAGGGCAGATGACTCCTACCCTGGAGTTGAGGGGCAGAGGTGAGAGAAATCCACCATTATTTAAGACAGACTGAATTGAAGAAATCATAGTTCTTTCCAACTCTACCCCCACATTCTCTATTCATACTTTATGTAAGAAATGCTTACTATAGTCTGCCATTTTATGTGTGATCTGTTACAAGTAGCACACTGTGCTGACTTTATGAACTTTCTGAGAGAGAACAGTTCTTGAATATGAGCATGTTCACATAGGAGAAAAGCCTGTATTGTCACCTTTTACACCCAAGTCTGCTTATGGGGAGATACAATGCAACAAATATGTAACACCGTACCAGGCAGGGATTTCTCATTGAACAGTGACAATAAGTTTATCTTCTTCATTAATGCAATGCCTTCACCTGTAATAGCTCTATTCAGATAATTTTTTTTTTTACCTCAGGTTTTTCAGTTTGGTTCTAGGAATTTGTCCATTTCATGTACATTATCTAATATATTTACATGCCATTGTGCATATTATTCTCTAAATATTTTTATTTGTGAGGATGGTGGTAACGTCTCCTCTTTACTAAATTTAGTTATTTGTGTCTTCTCTCTCTCCTTTTTTCTTTTAAAAAATTTTTTTTCGGTATAGCTAAAGATTTGTCAGTTTCTCTAATCTTGATGAGCCTAATTTTGTGTTCTATTCTTTTATGTCTTCCCATTATCTGTTTCATTGATATCCCCTGTAACCTTGATCTTTTTCTTCCTTCTGCTTACTTTAAATTTTTTTTGCTCTTCCTCTTTCAGTGTTTTCTCATATAAGGTTAGATTACTAATTAGAGATCATTCTTTTTTAATATAAATATCTACATCTATAGACTTTCCTCCAAGGTTCTCTTTGTCTTCCACATTTTGTATATTGTATCTTCATTTTCAGTCATATAAGTGTAATTTCTAATGTCCATTTTGAATTCTTTGACCTATTCATGGTTCTAGAGTATGTTGTTTCCTTCTAACAAATTTATTTTTAATTGAAATGTAATGTAAAATAGAGCAGACTTTGTAAACTTTAAGTGTTTTAACTTTGTAAAGTTAATTTATCAGACTTTGTATCACACTTTGTAAAGTTAAGTTTCGTGTGTGATAATGTGCTTCAATTGTTCAAGTCTACAGATGTGTACTGATATAAAATGTATTTCTTACCATGGGCTGAATTTCAAAAACGTCTGAAAACCACAAATATTCTTACTCTATTTGCCTTTGAAATGCATTCACCAAGTTGCCTCTTTCTTGTAATATGGTCATCGCACACATATGCCCGGAAAAAGAAAGGTCTTAATTCCTACTGTACTCGCATCCATGTGAGTGTGTGTGTGTGATACTCTCTTGTATCTTGTGCTACAGTTTCCCTCTGCTCCTCGGCCCCAGGCCTAAAATAAAAATCTCAGCCCAATGCATCTGCACACATTATGTGAATAGAATTTGTGGAGTTGGGTCGCCATGAGTAAATGTTGACAATAGGGTGAAAAAGAAAGGAGCCTCAAGTGCCTGACAGTGTAGGGCACTCAGGCCAACTCAGATGTGCCGAAGAAGTGCTGGATTCACCCTTGTCAGGAGCTCTCCATTCCCTTCTTTTCAGAACTACTTCTTTCATCACCTTCACCCTTATTCTTAATGCCTCTCCTCTTAAGAACGAAATGCTTTCTCCTCTGACTTGTCTTCTCCCATGCAGTATGAATGAGGCATTGGGGCTCCAGGACATGCAGACTGTGATCAGAACACATCAAAAGCAAATTCTTACTCCTTTACTATCTCTTTTTCTCACTTTTGGTTTGTAGACTCTCTCCCTTCTTCTTTCCCACACTCAGTTCTTCCTCATACTCTTCCTCATTATAAGGCTCACAGACTGGTGCAGGGTGTAAGTGCTCCAGATCACTTGACAGCAGACAGAGTAAAGGTTTACTAACAACATAAGAAAAAAATGGTGAGAAAGCAGAGGTTAGAACTTCCCTACCTTCACAAGTTTATGGCAGGAACTCTATTTATGTCTAAGATAGGCGCCATGGTGGCCGCTGTGTGCACACAAGTTATGTATGTATTATCTGTCCTCTGAGTGACAAAGTTTCTCTCTTTGACCAAACTCTAGCGTGGCTCCTCTGAGCCCTCTTCTGAACTAGACTTCAACCTTGGTCTGTAAAGGTTTGGAAAAAATGCTAACATGATTTCTACCAGGTAAAGATTCTACCTTCCAGGGATGACTTCAGTACCCGTTAAAGTATCCATCTGAGTAAACTGAAGGCTGAGAATGAATCTCCTGTTAGTTTCAGCCAACACCTGAAGGTAGACCTATCTGCTAGCCTGGGAGGAAGGGCAGAAGCCTGCCTTCCATAAGCAGTTAGTGAACTCAGATGGCTTTTACATGAGCCCACCCCCTTCCTGCTTTTGCAGGTTTTCACAACCCAGAGGCCACTGATCCTCTGGCTGCACTGTCATTTCGCATACTATCTTAAAAATTTCTCATACTCTTAAAAATTCCTGGTCAGCTTTGTACAAATAGCAATTGAGTTTACTATTTTTCCTTGTACGGTAGCTTACCACTGCTGAAAATCTGTCCTTAGCAGTGTGATGAATGACCAACTTTATCTTTCTTGGGAGCTTCCTTTTCCGCCTATTTAAGTCCCGGTCCGGTATGGGCGCGACACTGAGGGTTGCGATCCGTTGCCAGTCATGAAAAATGACAAAAAGGAAAAAAAAAATTTCTCATACTCTTAAAAATTCCTGGTCAGCTTTGTACAAATAGCAATTGAGTTTACTATTTTTCCTTGTACGGTAGCTTACCACTGCTGAAAATCTGTCCTTAGCAGTGTGATGAATGACCAACTTTATCTTTCTTGGGAGCTTCCTTTTCCGCCTATTTAGGAGCTGAGAAACTTACTTCTGACTTGATTTGAGATAGCAGACATCTCCTGTTATGGGCTGGGACTGTGCTAGGTGTGTTAAAACCACGGAGATAAATGTTCCATCCCATCTCGATATTTCTAAGCTCCCTTACAGTTATCAGAAGACTACTTATGGCTAATAAATCACCTCCAATAAAGCATAGAAGATCCAGTGTCTGGCCTGTAATGTGCTCCAGATGAAGTAACTCTCAGAATTCAGAACCAGAAACAGCCTCAGTCCCTGAGTCACTCTGAGCAACAATATGCACCCCTTGACCTGCGCTTAAAGGTGAGTGAGAAATATGTTCTCTTTGCAACCACTGAGATAAGATTATTGTTAAATGGAGAACAATAAAGTCAAATCTGGTGTGTTTCACAGTCTGCAGCTCTCCACACCACATAGAAGGGAGCACGGACATGTGCTGAGTTCAAATGATAGAAGTGGGGGTTCAGAGAGGTGAGGCCACAGGAATTTGCAGGCAGAGTTGTGGAAAGGAAGGAGCAATGCAGAGAGAGAGATCTTCATATGTGCATATCCTCCAGAGTAGATAACTGTAGCACCGCATGTGCATTATGGGGGTGGGAGCGTGTGTTGTGGGGGGAAGACCATGATGCTTGCAAAAGATGAAGAGAGCAATAATCAGGAGAGTAAAGGGCTCTATGGCCCTTGGAGATGTATTGTGTGCCTAGTCAAAATGATAGATGAGGTGCTCCATGTGGGCTGGGCTCTGTCTCCTCTCCAACCAGATGCAGCCCTCTCTTCACCTAGGCCTGTCTGGGTTCAGTGGTCTCCAAATGCCCTCCATTTAAAATTTTGTAAGTGTTGCAAACTGTTGTCATCTCTCCATTACTATTTCTCTCAGGGTTCCCCCATCACTAGCTTTAGACTGCAGGTACACAGGCCTTCTGCTATCCCTCATTCTCCTGTGCATGTCGCTTGCTTCTCCCGAGTTCTGTCAAGATCTCTGGAATATCTTGACCTGTGCTATGTGGACAAGACCTTGTAAATTTGAAGAAAGCTTTTGCTTGGGCTCCCATCGTTTTCTATGGGAAGGGGCTTGTAAGAGAACTAACAGGGTCAGCATCAACATGTAGAGAAGAGAACTTTTTGCAACCACAAGCCAAGGTAGCAGCAGCCATTAGAAGATAGAAAATGAAAGGAATGATTCTCACTGTGACCTCTGGAGGGCGTGTGGCTCTGACAGCACTTTGATATTAGTCCAATGACACTGATTTTAGTCTTCTGTCTTTCCAAATATTGAAATAATATATTTCTGTTGTTTTAAGCCATTATGTTTGAAATGATTTCTTATAAAAGCAATAAAAAATTGGAGTCCCTTGCAGCTTAATTCTTCTATTTGTATCAAGCAGTTGTAGCCAACAATAACTGGTATTTATAAACAGTGATCAGATCTGTTGGAAAACAAAGCAAAATAGATTTTAAAACATAAAATTTCATTAGAGAAAATGAGGAACATTTTATTATGATGAAAGTGTCTATCAGTAAAAAAGTTCAGAAGATGGCTAAAACAGTGATTAGATATAAATTTATACATGTGAACATGTATATTAAAAATGAACAATGATATGAAATCAACAATCTAAGCTTTCACAAAAAGATACTCAAAATAGGGTAAACAGATTCTAAACTAAGCATAAGAAAAGGAAAAAATAAACTTACAAAAAAAAGCAATGGAGTAGGAAATAAAAAACAAGAAAGAATAATAACTTTAAAGAAAGTTAATAAGGGCCGGACCGTGGCTCGGGAGAGTGTGGTGCTGATAACACCAAGGCCCCGGGTTCGGATCCCATATAGGGATGGCCGGTTCGCTCACTGGCTGAGCGTGGTGCTGACAACACCAAGTCAAGGGTTAAGATCCCCTTACCGGTCATCTTTAAAAAAAAAAAAAAATTAATTAATCTGCTTATTTTTTCCCTGGGAGGCAATATTAGATCAATGATTTTCATACATTTTTGAAGTATCTCACATTAAGACATATGTTTTACATTGTGACCTAGTACATATATACACATATAACTGAAAAATATCATGAAATAATGTTTACTCTCTACATGTTCTTGGCTAATTTTCTGTTGAAAGTTAATAAAATATCAGAAAAGTTGACAACTTTTCAGCTAGTTCAAGGGGGGAAAAAAAGAAGACTCAAATACTTAAAAAATTAAAGAGGTCGTTACTACCAACCTTACAAAAATAAAGAAAATATTACAGAAGAATAATATGAAGGATTTTATGCCAATATGTTAGATAATTTGGATAAAATGGAGCAATTCCTGGAAAGAGACTGCTGAAACATTCTCAAGAAAATAACAATTTGAGTACACCTTTTACAAGTGTTTTAATAATAACTACACAATGAAAAGTTTATATTCAGAAACTTCACTAATTCTACCAAACATTTGGAGATTTAATATTAAGTCTGCTTGAACTGTCCAATAAATAGAAACACAGTAGAGACATTTTTATATTCGTTACATGATTCAGCTTTACTATGATACCAAAAGCATACTGAGATATCACAAAGAAAAAAAATTCAGACCAGTTTACCTTGTAAGTATAGGTACAAAATTCTTCAAAAACAATACAACCAAATAGAATTCAGCAACATATAAACATAATTATCCCCAAAGAACCTAAATTCTCCAGGAGTAGAAGGTTCGTTAACAGCTAAAAATCATTTAACATAGTATATCATACCAATACAATAACAACAACAAAAAAAACAACCAAAAACAAAAAAACCACACGAACATCCCAATATATGCTGAAAATGAATTTGGCAAAATTTAACATCCTTTTATGATGAGAACATTTAACATAGGAATAGAAAGAAACATCAACAACACATGAAGTGCATTAGAAAACAAACAAATAATCAAAAAACCCACAGCTAACATCATTCTTCATAGTGAAAGCCAGTAGACTTATTTTCTGAGATCAGGAACAATATCAACACATCTACTCTCAAAACATCTTATTGCTGTGCTGGATGTGCTGGCCAGGATAATTTGGCAACAGATATAAATCAAAAGCACCTACATTGAAAAGGAAGTGCAATCATCGGTATTCACAGATGACCCGATCTTGTATTTAGAAAATCATAAGGAATTCACTAACAACTATTAACACGAATAAACAACTTTATGAAAGTAATAAGATAGAAGATCAAGGTACAAAAATTAGTAAAATTTCTGTATATAAGAAACAGTCCCAAAATAAAATTAAGAAAATGATCCTACACAATAATATCAAAAGCAAACACAAGTAACTCAAACAAAAGAAGGGTAAACTTGAATAGTGAAAACTACAACACGTGACCAGTGTGGAAAGACTTGGTATCATTCCTGAGCCTTCTGTGTTTGGCTCTGAAGACTACCTTAATAGAAAGAGAAAAGGGATTTCATTCGTGGACTTTATATTGCTTAAATGGGCTCAGGGTGAGTCCTACACATCCAAATGTGTATTACTGTCTCCATTTTTATGGACAGAAAACAGGCCCACTAACAAAAGGAATGAGAATCTATATTTTAGAGGATGGAATATAAACAATATTGATTGCCCTTGCGAACCCCTGCTAATCCTCCTGTGTTTAAAGGATCCCCAGATATGGTACCAATAAGTGTTTAGTGTTTTTATTATTAATACTTTTTATTATGGTAAAATATATACAAAAGGTTTGTCCTCTTAAGTATTTTTAAACATACCATTGCATAAAATTAAATACATTGACAGTGCTGTGTGAACATCACTTCAATCTATCCAAAGCTTTTCTTGACATCCTAAGCATTATCTCTACACCAATTAATCAATAACTCCTCATTATTACTTCCCATTCAGTTTCTAGTAACCTGTAATCTACTTCTCTCTCAATTTTTCAACTTAATTTTTAAAAATTGTCCCATGTGAATTGTACATATTTATGAAGTAAAATGTGATATTTGGGTACATTTATACAGTGCGCAGAGACCGTATCAAAGTAATTAGCATGTTTTTTTTTCTTTCTTCTAAAGCCCATGTGGTTTTAGGCCCCAACACGACTTCAGGCCAGCTCACTCCAACACACCCGTTCTATAAATCTGCTGCTTTATTTCACTCTATACACAAAAGCAGTTTTTCCGACTGTGTAATGTAATCCACTGAAGACTCACAAGTTAGTTTAGTGGATGAGAACGTTTTTTCGTCGGCTGAAAGAGTTATATTGATTTGCTTGTTTACAACTTTAAAGAGTGACGATTTTTCCATAGTTGAGAATACATTTGTAAAAGATAGATGTGGATTCTATGACAGGAATACCTATATCAAAACTTAAAAAAAAAAAAAATACTTATGATAATTGACTAGTTGACTCAAATTTGAATTTCCCCATCATTCCCACAATCTCCCAGGTTGACAAACCAGGAGTTAATGAAGACCCAGAATGTCACATTGTCATCACGTGGATAGAGGCCACCCTTTGCTCAGCAGGTCCTAGTCTCCTGGTAAGGGGACTCCCTGCTGGGCAAATATGCAGAATGTGTTTCTTTGGTTCCTAAGGGAACCCAGAGAGACTTCTGGGAAGTGTAGTCGGCTACCCAGTGACGTCATCAGCACAGGACTATGGGAAGGACTGGCCAGGGTGCCTCTGCGCATGTGCCGCTCCACCCACTCCCGCCATCTTTCCCGGCTACTTTCTGACCTTTCGTCTCTCCGGACATTTTCCCTCAGGTTTTGGGTTTGGATTCTGTGCCCCTGAAGGTTAGTGCTGGGATGAAAGAGGAACCCGCGTGTCGTGGGTGGACCCTGGGGGTCAGGACGGGGTCCCAGCACTTGGTGGAGCAATGTCGGCGGGTCTCACAGTGGCTGGAGCTGATGGGCCTGTGCACGCCACCAACGTGCGACAGGGGACACGTGCGCTGTCAAGGGTCAGAGTGTCCGAGGTCAGGGCGTGTCAGGAAGAGCAGGTGTGGCTTCCGCGACCCACAGCTGACAGTCCTGGGACTGAAGCTGGCCACGGGGTAATGACGTCTGTGTGTCGCTGCATTCTGGGTGGTTGTTTTGTTTTGAAGGATTTTCAACGTAGACTCGCAAGATAAACCGATCTGACTTTTTTCTGTGATAGCTCAGGACGCTTCCGGTGTGGTAGCAAAACTGCGTCGTGTGACGAACAGAAACGCGTCTCCGCTGTGCTTCTGCTTTTGGACGGTTTGAGCAGACTTTATAGTAAGTCGTGCTCAAATGTTTGGTAGAATTAAACAGTGAAGGTTGTGAACACAAACTTCTGCTGGTGTACACTATTTTATTCTTAAAGCACCAGCAATAGATCTACTCAGATTATTATTTTCTTGACTCAGCTTCAGGAGTTTTGTCATTCTAGGAATTTCTTCAGTTTTATCTAGATTATCTAACATATTGGCAAATAATTCTTCGTATTATTATTCTCTAATATTTTCTTTATTTTTCCAAGGTTGGTAGTACTGGCCTCTCCTTAACATTTAGTTGTAGTTATTTGAGTCTTCTCTGTTTTTTACCCCTTGGTCTAGCTAAAGACTTGTCGATTTTTTAAAATTTTATTATATTTTATCAATATACAATGTAGGTGATTTTTGTCAATATTTTTGATTTTTTGTTAACGTTCTTACAATTTTATTGTTATTCTTTATTGTCTTTCATTTTCTGTTTCACTGCTGTTTCTTGTAATTTTTTTCTTATGCTTACTTTAGATACTGTTTTCTCTACTATTTTCAGTTTCTTGATGTAGAAACTTAGGTTATTGATTTGAGATCATTGTTCCTTTTTAATATACTTTATTCCTTTTTCTTATACTTGATCGGAGAGGGCCAAGATCAAGATGGCGACTCAAATGGGTGTGAGGTGGAGGTGTGGGTTGCAGTCAGCATGAGCATGGGAGGTGTGTGCTGAGTTCAGGTTCCAGCTCTGCCATGAAGGAGCCTGTTACTAACCCATATAGTATTCAGTTTACCCATCTGTACCATGAATGTATTAATACTACTGAAATGCCCCCAAATTCCAAGAGAAATAATTGTGAGTTGTGTACAGACTGTTACTGTGAGGCAGTTGTATGTGTGGGATTTCCTGGTGTCTTCCTCAACTAGCGAAGTTTCTGGTCCCCCCCCACCCCCCCGCCTTGTGTAGTCTGCCTAGCAACCCTGGTTTGAATTTCCAGAAGTTTAGGTAAGACCTAGTTTCCAGGGGCAGTGAGTTCTGTCAGGGAGATTGGGATACTGGATGATAGTCCAATTTTGGCAGATGGGACGCAATGTAGTTCACATGCAGTGTGAGAAAAGAGGCTCCGCAGGTAGGAAGTGTAACTGAGGGGACACCCCTCTGACCTGAACCCTCTCACTAGCCCTTCAGGGCAGAAACAGAAGAGTCACAGAAAGAAGGTGTTATATTTAGATGTTCTGGGCAATTATTGAGCCTAAGTCCCAGAGTGAACAAGACTTGAGTGATCCTACCTTCTCCAGCAGCTGTCAGTGACCGGGTGATATGGATAAGTTCAGACTAGCTTTCAGCAGGGAGATGTGAGTTGGGTGAGGGACAGGCAAGAGCCCAGGAAGTCATTACTTATTGGGGGTGGGGTGCTTCAGGGTGCTTTGGAGCAGAGGGATGACCTGTTATAATTGAGAGGATCTGTCTCCATCGTTCCCTAACATTGTCCCATTACTTCACTCTACCCTCATTATTTCCAGAATCGGAGCTCTCTCAAACGTAGTCTGTCACCACATTTTGTTTCCAGACATATGCTGATACTTCCTCTATTCTGATAATTCTTCCTGGTATTCAGGGAGGGTTTGCCAGCATCTTTCTGCCACGTGAAAAAGAAACCGGGTTTGAGAAGAGTTAAGTTGCCCAGGGTCATGTAGTTTGTACATATCAGGCATTCTGTTTTTGACTAGTGTTATCTGCTTTGCCACATTAAATTGAAAACTCATATTGATTTTTGAGATTAATTTTATAAGCTACTTTCAGTTTATAACAGATGTTTTAGAAAACTTTGCCTTGAACATGCCTATCCTTTTTCCCCTGATAATTTCTGTGGATTTTGTAAGTCCATGGGGCATTATAACATTTTATCAATTTATGTCAGTTATCTATTCTTAAAAAGTACAAATTCTCCAGGAAGTTATGAGAAGCCTAATTCCACTACTTAAAAAAGGAGAATTAGATTGAGTCACCCAGTTACTTCTAATTAGTTTCTTAAAATATAAAGAAAACCATGCCCACATATAAGTAACAGCCTAATGATGTACAAATTCAAACACAGAGATTCTTTTTATGGTTCCCATGGCATCTCTTATTACCAGCAACCTTGCTGACATCCATCTGGTTGACATTTATTGTGCTTGTAACAACTTATTTGTATGATTGTGGAGTTCTGTTGATTGTATTTGGCACATAATCAGATTTCTTTCCTTCTCAGCAATATGCTAAAAACATACTAAATTCTGAGGGATTGGACATATTAGAATTTGATATATAGCCAATGAACAAAAACTTACTGGTTTAAGAAACAGTCATTTATAATTCTATGAGTCAGTATTTCAGGCAGGGCTCAGCTGGGCAGTACCTATGCTGGTGACAACTGGAATCACAAATGAGGCTATAGGCATCTGGTGCCTTGGCTGAGGCTGATGCTTTGAAGAGGACTTCACTCAAAAGTGTAGCAGTTCATGCTGGCTCTTGGCTGGGTCCCACTTATCCAACAGGCATGCCCTGGCTTTTTCACAACACAGCAGTATTTAAGAAGACAAACTCTTTTGGGCAAATGTTATTCAAAATGATGTTTGTATCCCATCTACTGATGTCCTATTGGCCAAAATAAGTGAAATGGCAAAGCCCAGTGTCATTGTGGGAGGGAACTATGTGAAAGCATAAATACAGGGAGGAGTGTCACTTGTGGAAAAGTATACTGTGATAAATATACACTATGGATATTTCCCCTATACCATCATGGGCCAAAAATGTTAAGTTGCAAGATGCACACTTTCCATGAAATTTAAGTCTGTAAAGGCAAGACGTGTTCTATTGGAAACACTATTATGGACTTCCGTGTGGTGTGTCTTTATTAATAAAAAACTCATTAATAGCTCTCAAGTATTTTTCTGTAACACCAATTTTAATAAGGGCATAATGTTTCTCTTTTTGGTGTACTGTAATTTATTTAAACCATCCTTAAAAGTTTAAATTGTTTTTTTTTCTGTAACATTGTTACTAAATTGCCAGCAGATAAATGTTTTCATTAACCTAAGGATAGATTGTGGTTTTACTCTCTACCAATTAAGAGAAATAAAGGATCAGCATGTTCAGTGTGGGTGCTCCTTCAGGGAGTTCTTTCCTGCCCATTCTCGTGTCAGGGACTATTGCCCCAGAGAGAGGCTTGTATTGTTTTATTTTGTTTCCTAGCTATTTTGTAGAGAGTTTTTCCCAGTAGAATCTAGGGCTGAGCTAGATTCTCTCATGACTGCTTCCATTCACTTCTTTCAGCTATGATTCCAGACTCTTCTACCTGTTTCCAAGAGCAAAGAAAATAAATCCATCTTTGCCAAGTTGTTTATTTAGGTATTTGTCTGCTTCTTTTACATTATATTTTAGGAGCTTTATGAGTATTCAGTAATTAAAGTGAAAAAGTAAAAATAAATAAAATTTAACATTAGTGAAATGTACATAAACAAGAGAAATGGCATGTTGATAGAGGTGGGTTACAGGACTTTAGAGCCATCTAAGTTGAGTACAGATTGGTCTCTGGTCTTTCTGATACCATGGCAAAAACACACATTGTTACATGATTCCAGTTGACCCTAACATGACAACATGCTAAATTCTCATGAGATATAAAGTGTGATGCAGACTCTATATTGGTCACATGCATGGTGCAGTGGACAGTGTTTCACTACAATGTGGACATAAACATTCCTCATTCTGCAGTGGTAACAGTTATCCAGTGCTAAATCACATATCAGTTAATAAGGTTCTTCTGGAATTGCTTAAGTTTTGTGATCCCAGGCAGCTTTTTTTTTTTTCATTTCCTTTTATTCCTTTACTTATTTATTTTAATTTTTATTGAATCAAAATTGATTATACATATTTTTGGGGTTCAACATTGAGACAGATTGATCAAATCAGTGTTACTAGCATATATATTGTTATAAATTGTAATTATTCTTTATGCCCCTTTTTCAATCTCTCTCCACTCCCCTCTTCCTTTCCCTTTCCCCTCTAATCACCCAAGATTTCTTCTCTCCTTCTGAAAGAATAATGGTTTCTCTTTTGATTTGTAGCCTAGATGGTCTGCCCAATGCTGAGAGGTGTGATCAGGTCCCCCAATATTATCATAAAGCACATGCTTCTTCTGTCACTCTGAAATGGGCTTTGAGGGCAGAGACAAACTCTTCTTTTCTTTATCTCTGCTGGTGACTCTTCTTGTGTCAATGCACTCCAGTGGCTGGCAGACCATCTGCATGGTGGTCATGGCATCTAGCCATTTTTGCAGCAGCCATGGTTATTGTGGTGGCTGTGGTGGGCCACCCACTCTGAGGTGATGTTTTTGGCATGCTCCTTGGTGCTAGCAGTGTGCCTGGTTGTGGGGAGTGTCTGGTCCCTGGCTGCATACCTCGAGTCATCAAACAGGCCACAAGGCACTGGTGCAGTGTGCCTGGCTGTGGGAGATGGGTTGGGTACCTGGCTCTATGCCTCAGGCCCGTGGGTGGGCCCCAAAGCACTGGCATGGTGTGCCTGGTTGTTGGAGAGGAGTCCAGTCCCCAGCTCCCTACCTCAGTCCCCAGGTGGGCCCCGACGTGCTGGCGTGGTGCCAGGCAGCTTTTGAATGTCCCTACTTGATGCATGGGAAAGCCTGGAGTATGTAGAAGATAGAATCCTCTGCAGGCCCTTAATAACTCCACACATTTCACTCAGCTGGTCTGGATATGCGGGACGTACCTCCGACAGTCCAAAGGTATATTTTATGGTAAACATTTTTGTTGGTCATTTGCATTTTAATC